CAGAGGATCCAAAGGGAAGATCCTGGCTGTGGAAAGTGCCTGAGAGAGGCCCCTGTGGCAGGGACTGTCCCTCCGGGCCGAGATTCCCTGGCAGATAAGTGACGCCAAGTGCCGCAGGAGTGTCTGTGTGTCTGTCTCCGCCATTCAGGGACGGAGAACAAAGCATCTCCTTAACATCCTTCCAAATCAGGACGGGAGAAAAGCAAAACAACTCTTGCACCTCCCATCTCTGGGGCTGCTGCCCCTGGAGCATCTCCGTGCCCGTTTTCCCTCGGTGCGATGTTTGTCTGTTCTAAAGCTCCATCTCCTGGAGCCGCGGCATTAACACAGGAGCGGCTCGGCTCCCGCCGAAACCAGGGGGGGAGTTTGACAGGAAAGTTTGCAAAGCTGGGAACTTTAGAGGGGCTAGATTAAAAAATATGAAGGAGACCCTGGTTTCTGTAATGTGGTTGCCCGACCTTCCTGGGTTTGGTTTCGGGACAGGGATCTGTGGCAGCGCTGCTGCGGCAGCTCCTGTGATGTCCCAGCACAATCCACGTTCCCGAGGCGGCCTCTGCCGGCCGCGCGTCCCCTCCTTGTCCCTGTCCCCGTCCCCGTCCCTGTCCCTGTCCCTGTCCCCGTCCCTGTCCCTGTCCCTGTCCCTGTCCTTGTCTCTGTCCCAGTCCCCGTCCCTGTCCCTGTCCTTGTCCCTGTCCCCGTCCCTGTCCCCGTCCCAGTCCCTGTCCCCGTCCCCGTCCCTGTCCCCGTCCCTGTCCTTATCCCTGTCCCTGTCCCTGTCCTTGTCTCTGTCCCAGTCCCCGTCCCTGTCCCTGCCCCTGTCCCCGTCCCTGTCCCTGTCCCAGTCCCTGTCCCCGTCCCCGTCCCCGTCCCCGTCCCTGTCCCTGTCGCTGTCCCTGTCCCCGTCCTCGTCCCTGTCCCTGTCCCTGTCCCTGTCCTTGCCTCTGTCCCAGTCCCTGTCCCAGTCCCTGTCCCTGTCCCTGTCCCTGTCCTTGTCTCTGTCCCAGTCCCTGTCCCTGTCCCTGTCCCCGGCCCTGTCCCGGTCCTCCCTGCCCTTGGCACACGGAATGTTGAACCAACAGAGCCCTGAGCTCCGACACGTCCATCATCGGGAAATGTTGCTCTCCATCACCGGGAAATGCCCCGCTCCCTCCCCCGGGAATGCCGCTCTCCATCCCCCGGGAATGCCGCTCTCCATCATCAGGGAGTGCCGCTCTCCATGACCAGGGAATGCTGCTCTCCATCACTGGGAATTCCACTCTCCATCACCCTGGAATTCCACTCTCCATCACTGGGAATTCCACTCTCCATCACCCTGGAATTCCACTCTCCATCACTGGGAATTCCACTCTCCATCACCCTGGAATTCCACTCTCCATCACCCCGCTCCCGCAGCGTCTCGAGTTTCCCTCCTGCTCTGCCCCGTGTCCGGAGCAGCTCCACAGCCCGGCTTTCCCGGCATGGGAACGAGCTTGCACAGGAGTTTTCTCACCTATCCAAGGAATCCTCATCCTCCTGCTCGCTCATGGCCGTGCTGGGCTGTGTGACCTCCCTGCCAGGACAGGCCAGGCTGTGCTGGGCCCGCTGTCCCCTCCATGTCATCCCAGCACATCCATCGTGCCGCTGGCCCACTCAGCTCTGCTGTCTCTCTCTTCTCTTTTTACACCCCGTATTTTGCTTCCCACAGGATTATAGAACTGTTTCAAGAAGTCCTTGAGGTGAATGAGGATGAAAAGTTGATCAAAAAGAGTTTACAAGTTACACAACATGGGCCTCCCGTTGGTAATGGAGGGATGCCAGCAGCAATCTGTAACTCTTGTCTCACTGAAAAACACAACCTGAGACAGACAGAGATGCAAATAACCTTTAAACTCATCCTAGAAGCGCACTGTATGCATGAAAAATGTCAAAGAAGTGCAGAAGGGTGTTCTGTACAGTTGCAGTCAATAGAAGGCATCCATTCTAGCAAAAAAATCTATTTATTTTTAATAAATCACTGTGTTGCCACTGAACTATTGCAACAGAAAACTCACAGAACCAAGACTCTATCAGGATTTTGCTCGAGGTTGGTTATTTCCCCCTCACATACAATTAACAAAGGAGCTAAAAATAAAAGCTTGATTCCTTTGTACCAGACCCAGGACAGTCATGATGCAGCTTCTCAGTGAACTGCCTGAGCAAAGGACAGCACACACACAAAACAACTCACAGGCTGAAGCAGATTATTTTAGCCCATTTCCTGCATCCCCCAGGCCAGGCATCAACTGAAACACAATTCCAATCTACTCTTCAGCTATGAGCATTTCCTGCTGAAATGCTTAAAAATAATACTTGGTGCTGCAGAGGTGCCCAAGCCTTGGAAACCTCCAGAACACAATTTTTGTATTAAAAATAGTTCACTTTGTGGGAGCTCACAGAAGATCCCAAAGGATTTTCAAGAGAAACCCCAGTCAGTGCTGGAGCTGCTCAGCAGTGCAAAGAGCAGCAATAATCCCTTCCCAAAGCTTCGTGCTGGCAGGGAGCTGCAGGCAAGGACAGCCCCGGGGTCGTGGGCTGTGCTGTCCCCAGCTCCATTTGGGGCACAGGGGGATTCCAGGATTGATTTGTCCTACAGCAAACCTCTCCCACCAGGAGCAATGCCCTTGCGTGGTCTCTCAGCAGAAGCTCCTGCCCATAAATCAGCCCTGAAATCCAACAACTTCTGCTCCATTCACTCAAGTCAAAGACTTTCTTTAACATTTTAAATCCAAATCCAGTCTCTACAACCCCAAATCCATGCTATGTTAGAAAGCTTTCCCTCAGGCAAGTGTTCCCTGAGGTTTAAAAATCAAGGCTGACAGAGAACCTTGGATACCATAAGGAAATAATTTTTTAACTTTTTTTTTTTTCTTTTAAGTATCAAGAGCAGAATTAAGTGCTGACTTTGAGCTTGTACTCTGAAGAATAAATTCCATTTTGCTTTCTATTCTGGTCCCATGTAACTTTTTATAGGAACCCCACCCACAAACACCATCGAGCACACGCTGGTTGAACCTCACGTTTCCTTCAAGCAGAACGCTCCATTTGGAGTATGCAAACACAGCATCAGTGTCACAGAATAATTTGGATGGGGAGGATGCTAAAGCCCACCCCAGCCCTGCCATGGCAGGGACACTCCCACTGTCCCAGGCTGCTCCAGCCCCAGTGTCCAACCTGGCCCTGGGCACTGCCAGGGATCCAGGGCAGCCCCAGCACCATCAGTCAGGACTTTCTTCCCCATATCCAATCTAAACCCACTCCCAGTTTGAAGCCAAGTGCTCTGGGGTGTGTAATTTAAACCAGATTTCATTAAATGTAGGGTGCACATCTAGGATTAAGATCTTTGCTGTGAGGTTGAAGCATTATTTCAATTTTTATTGGTCTTTAAAATTAGTTGCAGATACAGAAATGGATCCATACCTCCAAATCCCTCTGCAGGTCTCTGCAGGAGTGGCACTAAAGCTGCTCAAACAAACATCTGGAAAGGTCACAGGTGCTTAAAGAACAAGTTTATTGACAATATCGTCACAAATAAACAATCTAAAGAAAATTTCAGAAATCTCTAAACTTAGAAATTTTAAAATTTTCTCATTGGCAAAATATTAAAAAAAAAAAAAAGAAGTGTAAGATGTCACTATATTCTTAAACTTTCCTAATTTCAATACATTGGTTCAGTCCTTTAATTTGATAACACACATCCAACCCTTCAGCACAATGAAAATGAGTCAAAGTACAATTTTCCTTCTGCAAGGGGGTCTCGATCAAGAAGATTTTTATTTTTTTTTGCAAGCGTCTCCCTGAATCCTGTCTGCTCACAACTTGATAGGTAACATCAGCAAGAAATTACTTTATAAATAGTCCAACTGAGCCAAATTAATTCTGGTATTAACCAAAACCTAAATCTCCCCCAAACAATACAAAGCAGACCATGTAGTACAAGAAACTATCAGCATGCATTTTAGAGGTCATTTTTGTACTTCAGGTACATGAACTTAAAACCAAAGAGGGACAAGTGTGATAAAAATGTACTCAGATATTTCATAACATTAATATTTATTGCTTTATATGAATACTGTATTGAAAGCCCAAGCATTCAGTTTACACACAGAAATTATACAATTATATACCGTTTCACAATGGCAGTGAGCACTCATTACAATCTACAAAAAATCTACTTTACAGAAATTTAAAAATTCTAAATATCAAAAAGGTACAGTTGAAGAAACAGGTATAAATTTGGCAGCCAGTAATTGTGACTGGGAGGTTGCAGCTTGCATGTCTTTAAATATGGGAACTGGAAAATATTGACTTTAAAGCAGTAGTTTGTGCTTTGAGCTGGTTTGAAAAAAATGTAACACTGGCTGTCAAAGTAGCATGTTCAAAAATATTTAGTTCACTTCCAAAATGTTATACAAATCGTGGTGATTCCTCTGCACCCCTAACCCTTGCAGCTCAGGAACATGACCAGGGTCACATCTCCATCCTTCCCATCCCGTGGTGTGATCAGCCCGGTGCCACCTGCAAACCTTGGAGGAACTCTGAGACTTCTCTACAATATTCACAAGCTCCAAGAAGCACTCAAAAAGGCAAATACCTGCTCATTTCTTCCAAGGTATTTTATTTTCAAACATTTCTTCTACAAAAGTTTAAGCTAATGTTTTGATTACAACGTTCTCAACATAAAGCACATTTTCTCATAAATAAATGAACTCCTTTCACTCAGGCACCTCAGAAGTATACAAAAATGTTGTCATTGGAACAGTTCTCTTGGAATGTGTTTACTCTGGTGTTTTCAACAATGTTAGTATTTTCAGGGTTTCATATGGGCCAGATTTCATGTGTTTTGTTTTTCCAGAGGCAAAGTGCCTTGAGAGGTGAACTCAGTCTTTTCCTATAGAAAAAGTATTTGCTGTATTTATCTTTTATAGAAACAGAAAAATATACCCTTTCCCCCTTAGAACACGAGGGTACATGGAGGTGTGCATGCTGTGTGGAGATGTGTGTGTGAAATGGAACACATTTGAAACACGCAACAGAAGGTTCCTTGGTGTGTATTTAAATAAAAATCCAGAAACCAGCCTGAAACCCCGAATTTCACATGTCAAATGCTGAAACTGTAACCAAAAAGTGAAGTAACTGCTAGAGCTGTCAGAAAAAGACAAGACAAAAAGCTTTCTTGCTTACATACAACTAGGTGTGGTGATCTCCAAAAAAGTTGTCAAAATTATAATTACCTTCCAGTTTAAAAACTTTTATTCTAAATAAAAAAAACTATACACAAACCACTGATTTGACCAAACGAAAGTTCAGCGGTAAGCAGGACCTGAAGGAGCTGGTATTCACAGTTCTTATCACGTACAACTCTTTCAAGGTTCAATCCATGGAGAAGTTTATTTTACAACCTGCTTCTTTTTGTAAAACTAAAGGTCCACTTTATTACATAAAATTATTTATACAGTGTAAAACCGGAGCCTTATGGAAAATACCGCCTCTAAGTTTATTTAAATTAGTCTTGCTCCATAGGTTCATCTGCAGCTTCTGTGGCTTCGTCACTGTTTTCCATCGGGGTCTCTGAGGAGTTTTCTGGAGTTTCACTGGCATAGGAGCCCAGCTCTTCTGTGTCACTGCAGCCAGCTCCACTGGTGGCAGATGCACTGGTGTCACTGTCAGCTGAGTGCAAATCCTTCTGTGCCCGTGGCTGCTCTGACTCCTCCATGGCACTGCTCTCCTCAGAGCTCCCTTCGGCCACACCCGAGGAGTCACTGTCTTTGTCTGGATCCTTTCTGTCCGCACCGACGCTCCTGGGAGACATGAAGGACTCTGGGAACAAACAGCAAAGTGTTACCAAGGGGTTTGCCAGCATACCCTGATCATGCTGCTCTCCACTCCAAGCTATGCTGAGCAGAACTTCCACAGCACAGCCGAGGGCAGGAAAAACAGACAAACCCCAATTTTATTAGAAGAGGTAAAGAGTCAGAGCCACCTTTGTCAGGATATCCAAACTATCCCAAAATACAATTAAAAAAAGGTATGTTATTTAACAGGTAGCTTCACTTAATTACATTTCACTGGATAAAGAAAAAGTTTAAGAAGCAACTTTTTCTGGCTTCCCCACACCCTCCACTTGCTTTCAGAAGCTGTTTTTTGGAAATTATGAAGCCATGGCTGTTTCAGGTGTACAGCCATCATGATCTACAGGAACACTGTACAAATACACGAGCCACAGAAATAATTCAAAGTAAACTTTGAAGAATATGTAAAAAAAGAATTAGTCTCTTAACTGCAGTTATTTACTTTTTTTAAATTTATGTACAGAGCCTGCCCTACAATGAGATAATTTGTACTGTTCTAATAGGATGTGGAGATATTGTTGCTCAGCCTCCTCAGTGGAAGAATATAAATTTGTATCTGTATTTAAATAAATTCCATAATTAATAAAGATAAACAGAGCTGTGACCCATCCCCATTCTGGAGAAAGGATGAGAACACCTGATGATAGCCTAACACAGGGATTCCTGAATTCCAGGTGCACCCTGGTCTAATTCATGGCCTCAGAAGTTTTAAGTACCCCTGTGTAAGTTTCAAATTGAGCACAGAACCAAGGAAAAAGAAAAGAACAGAATTGCTAAATTATGTAAAATTGAAGTATGAACAAGCAGCTCTTCTTTAAGCACAACTGCAGACCTACAGCCATCCCACAGCACTGGTCTCCAGCAAAGAAAATCCCAATTCCTTGGAAGCAAAAGAAGACAGTGAAATCTGAATTACCTTCCTCCTCTTCCTCTGTACAGTGCTGTCTGGCACAGGAAGCATCTTTTTCTTTATCCTGAGATGTAGAGGATGCTTCTGTCTCTTCCCCCATGCCTGAAGAGACTTCACTGGAGGCAGTTTGGTTTGGTGCATCTCTGGCTTCCCCTTCCTTGTCAAATTTAAGTCTTTTTACCTCATGTCCTTCTGCTTCTGCAGGATCATCCTCAGAGTGCTTATTTTTCACAGGGCTGCTCTGAGCACCTTCTGATTCAGACGCTGGTGATTCACTACAAGCAACAAAACCAAATATAGCTGTTATTGAATACAAACATTCTGTAACTTGTCACACTTTAAGAAAAGAGTAGCAACTCTTTGATTTAAAAACATTAAGTAGTAACAATAGAATTTGCTCCACTTTCTACATAACAAAACCTCAAAGTCATCACTCCTGATTTAAGACTCTATTATGCATCCCTTAGAGGGTCAGTCTTTTTTAAACTATTTTTAAAATATAAATAAAAAAACCTGAGCTTCAAACACACTCCTCCAGACAAACCTGTGTTTCTTCTCCTCTGTTTGCTGCAAGCTGGGCTCTTTATGCTCTGTGCTGTCTGGCAAACCGTTGGTTGTCATGGGAGCTGACAAGGAAACCTTCGTCCGACTCACGGGTCTGGGGGTCCCAGGGCCATTTACATTCGATCTTTAAAAATAACAATGAAAAGTTAACCCAGCCTTTCAGCCACGTCATTTGTTCCTACCTGGCAGAAAGCAGTTATACTTCTTCTTCAAAAGATCAACAGAACTAACAAAGAGATGAGGGGCATTGCTGTTTTATTTTAAATAAAACGTTCCTCACCTGCAATGTGCAGATTTGATAAAGAATTTAAATAACAATGAAGTTAAGAGAGATCAAAATACAGAGTACATGGCCCACGTGCTCATGCTTCCTCTGTCCCCATTCCCCAGTATCCCATGTCACATTTCATTTTTAAGGGTGGTTATTCCCAGAACTCCACTGCTTTGATCCAGTACAGTGAAACCCTGGAGCCAAACTCACCTGTCAGTGTACCCTGGTGAGTTCCCGGGGAACATAACACCATTCATCCGATTCAAACTACTGGAATTGTTTTTCCTAACAAACAAAACAAAAACAAATTATTATGAATAAAGGAACTTTAAATCACTTCAAGCTTGTTTGCACAGAATTTCCCAACCCCAATCTTACAAAGCCCCCACTGTCAGCCCCCAAGGGCTTTTTATTTATTCCCAAATTATTACACTTGCAGGCACCATCCCTGCTGATTGATCTGTTGATAACAAAAGCTGAACTCTGCAAGTTTGGCTTTTAGATACAACTACTGACAGCAACAGAGAGACTTCACACACACAAACATCCTCCCTGTTACCAACACAAGCTTGAAGTTCCATGGAAAAGAGGATTATACTCACTCTGAAGATGGATATACACAGCTGACAACCATGACATTCTGTAATATACAAACAACAAACACATCAGGATTTCAGAAACAGAAGCTTCAGCTCCTGACAACATTCCAGAACTTTTAAGAGTTACAGGATTTTGGTCCTATCTGTTAAAATACCTCTGCTCCCTCGTACAAGGTCAGGCCATCATTACACTAAAACTCAAGATTTTATTAAGTTTGTTACTGTCCAGCACATTAATCCTCAGGCCTGAGTGTCTGTAATTTCTAACTGAGGGATCTCTGGAGAACAAAGTATTCAGAAATGCTGAAGCACCCTATTGTGGAACCACATTCTCAAAGTCTCTTCCTGGCTCCTGAAGGATCCCACGTTCTGACACAACCATAAACTGCCAGGTAAGACACCTGTGTGCCCTTCTGAAGGCACACCCTGCTACAGCACAGGATTTAAATACTGAAACAAAGGACACTGGAGGGAAGGGGCCTCCCTTCCTCACCTCTGGATCTACTCTGAAACCAAATGAGGGAGGAAATTCCTGATCAAAAGATTCAGGGTATTTCTAACAAGGACTCCATACACAAACTGCCACCCTGCACAAACTACAGGTGGAGCACTGCACAGTGATTGGGAAACACTGCAATTGCAGCCCTGAGATTCATTTTTGTCTGCAGTTATTTTTAAATTGCTTTTTGCTGCTGAAAGGCATGAAACAAACTCAGACATTTAAGAGGTGTACTCTGGCTCTGAGCCCCAGGGAAAGCAGCAGAACCTTGGGGAGCAGTTGGGAAGTTATTAAGTGGTGCCTGTGACTGTGGAGCTGTGTTTTCTCTCACAGAAATACATACCTTTTCCACACCTCTTAGGAATTTGTCTGTTCCTGTGTAATTCCTCCTAGGATCTGTCAGCAACTCACAGAGTCGCTGGATAGTGAAGGGGATGCTGCAATGAAATAGATTTGTAACAATTTAATTTTATTTTATAAGTACAACTGTTAGGAAGCAACAACGTTATCACTTTCTCCCCCTAACTGAGAAGGTGGAACAAAACCAGGACTGAAATTTGTTACCATGAGCAATACTGGGTTTATTTTCTCCTGTCTCATACAAAGCTGTTTCCTGTGCTCACCACCACAAAACCCAAGTTGAATCCTAAACACATCATCCCACATCTCACAGGATTCATTTAAACAATGAAAAGGAAATCAGATCATCAACAGTAAACTTTCTGACTGTACTATTCCAATACACAGAACAGAGATTGTAAGGGATTCAAAACAAATTGGAGTCATACACACTAGAGCTAAAAAAGTCTTAACTTGTAGTTTATTTCAGGTTTCACAAAACACAGTTACAGAAAAAGCAGTAAATGCTGGAATTAGTGGAACCATTATACTTCAGCTATTACAAATAATGTATTTTGCTACAACTGGACAATGTACTCATCTATCAAGGAACAGATCAGGAAAAATAAGTAATAATAATAATAAGTGATGTGCAAGCCCATAGGAACCACATAAACACATTTTTGGTTTTGCCAATTCTGCACTCAGTTTCATCCCTGGTGAAATGAGAAAGTGAGCCTTCAGACAAGCAACACTCTACAAACAATTCCCAGTTACCTGAGGTGTCACACACTTTCAATCCAAGTTCAGTGTCACATTTTAACAAATTTCTGTCCAAATTATTTCAGTAAAATGATGAAGTACCACGCATTTTTATAGTTAACTATTGGAAGCTGAAGCCATAAGCATTTAAAAGTTATCTAAGAAGAATGTTTGGTACAATACAATATTTATGAACCATGTCATGGTTGGGAATACAATTGACACCAAATCCAGAGCAGCATCAATCTGACGTGTGTGTGTGTGTGTACATCCCTATACTGTAAATTTCTGTCCAAACTGCACATTTACTATTTTCTGAGGAAGTCAGTACAGGGTATCTCCAGCCTGTGTCAGGAGCTCACACAGCATGGATCTCCAGCTTGCTCATTAGCTAAAAGCCACATCAGAGATGCCCAGCTCAGTGCAGAGAGCTCAGCACAGCTCCAATTCATCATCCCACATGACACTGCACTCAACTAAAAGCCAGCAGTACTCAGAGAGTGACTAAGTATCAACAATTTAATTATGTTTTCAGAACTGCCTGCACATTATGTTACTGAGGAAGTCCTAATCCCCAACAAACCAGAAAAACCACAGGAACAAGTGTTCCTTCTAATTCAGTTTATTACATGAAGGCTCTTAAGCTTGGCAATAGTTCTGGCATTATTAATTTCCCTTCCCTTGCTCTTCATTGGTCAACCAGCAATGTTTGACACCCAAATTCTTCATAAAATCATCAAGCTTAGAAGAGACCTTAAAGATCAAGTCCATACTCACAATATTCAGATTCTGCCCAGTGCCTTCTTTTAAGTCATAATCAATTTACTCAATCTGTTAATCTTTCCGTATAGATAAAATATTAAATTGATCTTATTATTTCTTGTGATGGTCATTTTGGTTTTGGGTTGGAAACTCATAATTGAAGAGATTTTGCTATTTTTTTAATAGAATAGAGAGTCCATTCAAAAATCTATTTATTCAACAGAAACAAAAACATATAGATTTTTAAATTATTCTCCATCAGCCAGATGTGTAAGACATGCTGGGGAATCAGTGCCTGGCTAATTTGGGTTTAGCTGTACTTTTACCTGGTGCCCTGGAATGCTGTGACATGGAGTGTTTTGGAACATCAATGCAGGGCTAACTCCCCAAGTACAACAGAAAATTCAAGAAATGTGCAGCCTGCAACTAACTCCAGAAGGAAAAGCTGTAAAGCTGTGGTGTTGTTTTTTTTTTAAACTCTCAGATATAATAAGTTAAAAAGAAAAAGGAAAAGCCAACTCATTTCCCTCCAAATTCTTCCCAGCAAAGTGAACTTCGTGCATTGAGCAGCAGATGGCACCCGGTGTCACACAATCACCCCTCTGCACTGAATTCCTTCAACATTTACAAATGCTTTTAGACAAAACCCAAAGTTCACTTCACCTCAGAAACTCTTTCTAGTGAAAAACTATTGTTTTAAAATAGTTCAACAAGGTGATTTTAAAACAGAGGTAATTTAAATTGGTGTAAATCTATAAAGGAACACCAATGTCAAGTTTGTGAGCAGTACAAGAACTGATTGTAAATACTCAGAAATTTAATTAGCTCAGCACATGAGCTGCATGAATAGGCCTGATCTAAGGTAACCACTTAAAATTCTATACCAACACACTCAAAACTGCACTTCCAGCACTACAGCCCAGAGTGAATAACAAACCAAATATTCATTTGGACAGGACTGAAGAGGGATCTGGGAACATTATTTATAACAGCTATATTAAATTGTAGGGGGAAAAAAATCAAAAATGAAATTTAGATTATGATTATTTTATTCATGCTGTGAAAACTTCTCTGTCATCAGAGATCCCCAATAACTGAGAACTTGGAACTTCCTTGTTTCACTAACAAAGGATAAAAAAATGACAGAAGTTCCTACTCCAAAGCAATTGTAAGAGAGTTATAAAGAGAATCTGGCTCAGCAGACCTGTGCAGACACCATGTCAAATAAGATACAGACAGGTTAAAAGAGCCAGTTTGTGCTTTTTTTAAAAGGCACTTCAGCTAGAAAAACCCCAAAACAGGGGTCACTCTCAATGTGTTACTTCTGCGACTCAAATCAGAAGTTTGTACAAATTTGCCACTTTGAATGAACTCTTTCCCTCTCTCTTAAACACTAATAAAATGTCCCAATAATAAAGTGACATCAAGTAGGTTCCTTGTCTGTCCTGGTGCCCTGAAATGACACTCACAGCTCTAAAGCAGCCTGGATATACAGATCTCACAACCCAAAACCTGCTGCTGCTTTTTGGACAGATCTCCACATGATTCAGCTTTTACAATCACATCCTCCCTGTGGGGGTTACAGGATTTACTCTGCAATCCCAGATCCTGAATCATGCCCAGGCATTATTTCCTTTAAGGTCACCAATGGGTGCAGTTTGCCTCCTCAGAGCCTGGCAGTTCCAGTGCAGAGCAGGAGGCAGCTGAGCACCCTGAAGTGCTCCAGCAAAGGATGGAAACAGCACAGGCACAGCCCGAGCTGCAGACTCTCATGCAGAGGTTTGCTCAGAGCACTTGGGAACACCAGCAGATAACAGCAGCCCATTCATGAGCCGGCCCTGGGAGAACATGACCCATTCTGTGGGCAATGGAGCACGAACAAAGAGCTGGGGGAGGCGGGAGAGAGGCAGACTCGAGCATAAAGGATAGGTTTGTTTTGAAATTCCTGCAGTGAAGCAGCCTGGTATAAATATTGGGGAGCTGAGAACAAGCTGAATTTCACATTCTTAGAAGTCTCCTACAAGAGAGCCATCGTGGGGGGAAGAGGAGATCCGACTTAAGACTCCTAAACTGCAAATAAATGAAGCAGCATGGAACAATGACAGTATAAATGATAAATACAATACTGAGGACATGTCAGTAGTACCTCTGAACCTGAAATTTCAGAGTATCAGGAAAGGCAAGATTTAGAACATGCCCATTTATCAAGAAGCTGAGAAAAATGCTGAAAGTCTCTTAACAAGCACTGAGCACCACAAGCAGGATGACTCAGCTCATGGCAAGTATGTAATCCAGTTTAACAACAGAAATACTAGGTAAGCTAGTAAAAAGGACACACCAAATAAGACAAAAACATCAGGACCTTTATTTGAAAAGAAAGAAAAACTTCCAAAATTAGAAAACCAGCAAAGGGCACAGATACATTTCAATCTAGGACACTGTCATCAACAGAGCAACCACCCCATGTCCTTCATCAGTATCACTTCAGCTAGAAATCTGAATCTGGCATAATTTAGTAATTCCAGCCCAGGTACACCTCTGCCTCCTGGTCACACCCTGCTTCTCACAGCATGGTTTCTTCAAAAGCCAGTGAACTGCCACAAAACAATCAGGAACTGAACACCAGAAGACAGACCTCTGTCCATTTGGTATTTCAAAATGCACTAAAAGAAGTCTGACTGAACTGTCTATTTAATCTCTTAAATGCACACAGTAATATGACACTTCTTTGAACTGCACTGTGTAAAACTAAACACATATTGAAAAAAAAAAGTGAACGTCAGCACAGCATGTCACATGTCACACTTTTCATTCAGCGACACAATAATAAAGTTCAGAAACTATTGTAATGCATTTCCAAAGTGCATATTTGCTTCTGCTCATCCATTCAAGCAAGCAAAATGAACAGTCACAGAGACAGGACAAACTACTATGTTAAAAACAGGGGAAATATGTTTGCTATCCTGATCATAGAAAACAAAGGATACATACCCATTAAATCCAGTAACAATTTTCAGGATTCTTTCTTTCATCTCTTCAAAGGGAATATATTCCACGTTTGGATTGGGGGGCCCTCTTGGTTCAGGAGCTGAGGTTCTGAAATCATCCATGACTTTCTCCAGTTTGAAAATAAAATAGCCTTTAAACTGAGACCACTGAACCCTGCATAAAACACAAGCATTGAGACACAGGCAAGTTAGTCCTAAAGCCAAGAACAACAGTGTGAGTTTGTGTTTGCACAGCAGCCTTCACCCTGGCATGCCAGCCCTGAGATAACCGAGGCCAGTAATGCAGGGCTGCTTTCCTTCCTGAGTTTGGAGCACGGGAACTATTTCAACAATTACATGGAACAACGGTGCACAAATCAACTGCCACCAACAGCAGGGGAAGCCATTTCCTTAAAGAGCCAATGGGCAAGGCAAACCTAAACCTGAAATATACATGTGTCTATACAATGTAAGGGAGCCTACAGCTTCACTGAGCTCATAAGAGGTGGAAGGGAAACAAAGAAAAAACCACAAAAACCCACACCAAAAATACCCACCTCACCAAACCATGAAGTTTTTCAAGTTTGGAATCCACAGAGCAACTATACACAGCATTATCTGCTCCCCTCACAAAACCTTACCAAAGGCCTTTTGTAACTCCATACACCTTAAAAACATCTCATGGTACCTCTCCGTCTCAAAAAGGCAAATATTCCTGTATCACAGCTGGCACTTGCTGACAAATAACTGAGCAAAACAACTCTGACTCCCAATAAACATTCCCACAGCAGTGAGCTATTAAGATGGCTCCACATTACCTCCTGCCTTACAGCTTCAAGTTTCATCATTGATAAAATTCTAGATTTTGACATTTTCGAGCAAACAGGTCCCTCTCAGTGGGTACAAGCCCCTGCCCACCCATGGCAGCCACAGGAGCCACTCGGGGCCCCCCTGGGCTGGATGTGCCTCCCTGGGCAGCACAGGGAGCCACGTGAGAGCAGCAACTGATTGAGTTCAGGATCGATTTGTTTCTGCTCCTGATGCAGGAGCTTGCACAGCTCCAGCACAGAAAGAGAGAAGAAACAGGGAATAACAAAGCAACAATAAAGAAAGAGAGAAAATGATCTTTGACATTTATCTGTAACACACACGCTCTGGCAGGAGCAGGCTCAAAGCAAACAAGTGTAAAATGTGAGCCCCTGGACAGCCCTTCAGCTCCTGCTCAAGGCAATATTCAATAGACAGAAAACCGTTCACCAAAGGCTCTGTCTCTGCAGCCCTGCCCATTTCTGACCCCACACAGGGCTGCCCCTCTGTGGGGCTGAGCCAGCTGGCTGTGCTGAACCATGGATGGTGATGTTTGCTTCTCCAGCACCACCAAATCCCAAACCATGGGCCAGGGAAGCTCTGGCAGCCTGCTAGCACCAGAACAGCAGGGCCACGTCATCTCTGCCTTTGTTTTCTCCTTTGTCTCAAAGAAATAATTATGAGATTAAAAGGGGGGAAATACAGCTCAGGTTTATCTACAGAGATCCAAACACAAAGCCCTGTCTTTCACCAGGAATGAGAAATTTTGCAAGAATAAGGGAATTCCAAAGAGGAAAGCAAAGCTCTGTTTTCCTTCACAAGAGACCTTCAGGCACCTCACAACAGGAGGGATCACAGGACTTGGTGAACAATAATAAAAATTAATAAATAAATAAACATCAGGGTCCCAAAAGGGAATGGTATGGATTAAAGAGCACTACTGAGTCTAGCTGGATTGTCTCCAACCAGCATTCTCCATCCACAGCAGAACACTGTAATGTTCCAGTGCACACTATCAGGCATTACTACTGCAAATGTTCAATTAAAAAGCTGTGCAATTCTGCAGTGTCACCACCATGAAACCAAAGTGTTAGTAACAAATCACAGATTTAATACATAAACAAACCACAACCACAGTAAATAATCCCATGGCAGTGTGGGATCACTCCCCACAGAGCATCCCAAGAGCTTTCCTTGCCTCATGAAAGGGGATTCCACTATTATTCTAAACATTCCTTGACAACTCCATTTGGATATATTTCCACACTGTAAAACTTGAGTTGTTCTTTGTTTTCATTGTTACTTATTTCTTGCTAAATAGTAACACTTATCTTTTCACAGACTGTTAACCCATCAGTGTTTGAAATAAATCAACAACATGAGGTTTAAAACTGCAATCTCCTGCCTGAAAGCAGCACTCACCAGCTCCTTTACAATGCTGAAACTGCAGAAAACAAAGATTGTAATGTTGCCCATACTGAGATGTTGAGAAAACTATCACTTGGATTTTAAACTACACATTTTAATCAGCATTTCTCCCATTATAAAAAGGCAAAGAACTCACATCTGCAACACACTGAACTACAGACACAGAAAGCAGCTCTGAACCTGCACTCCAAAGCACCTGCTCAGTGGCTGCTGGCCAGGTGACACAGGCCAGGTGACACACAGAGGCAGCAGGGTTTGGGGATAAACTCACCTGCAATCCATCCCAGGGTGAGCACGGCTCGCCCAGAGAGAGCAGCAGCAGCTCAAGCCAACCCCCCAGGCTGGGCAGGAGCTGCAGGGGCTCAGGCAGTGTCTGTGTGTCCCAGCACTGCTGGGCTCCCTGCTCAGCAAAGCTGAGCTGCTCTAAGGCCACTGTCACACCCAGGGCAATCCCAGACAGAGCAGCATTCAAACAACAAACACAGCTGTCCTGGGCATCTCCTGACAGCAGTGCTGTGTAAAATAATGAACTCATTTCTGACCAAAAGAACCAAAATTATTTCTGCAGGCACAGTAAGATTTTCTCAGTTCCCATTTCAGAAGTGAGTGTCACAAGAGCCAAGTCACCTTTCCTGTTTTACCAGTCCATGAAAATGACACGTACAGTTGGCACCAGCTGAACTTTACAAACTCATGTGTCTCATCTCAACCCTTCCAAACAATGGCTTGAGCTTGGCAGTACAAAATTAAGATTACAAGTCACATATCCTGTTAGCTATCAAAGCAATCTTTATCTACAACTCTCGATTTTTTTTCCCATTCATGGAAAGACTGGTTGCTTAGAAATACAGACAACACAAGAGACAAACAAGTGCCAAATAGCTGTTTTCTAGGAAAAGAAAAGTATTCCACATGTATCAAAAGCTTCCTGAGAAAACTCCTTTTTTCTCTGCTTTGTTACACAACGTGAGAACCCAAAACCAAGAGAAAAGTTTGGCCAATATTTTCTATAGTTAGATCAAGAGCCAAATAGAAGCAAAAGAAATTTTTTCTACTCTCTGCTTTATGTACAAGCTCATTAAGTTTTATACACTGGAAAATAACAGATAAACAAGATAAATTCTGTAAGAAAAACAAATTGAAGAAATTCCATGGAAAAAACACTGTTGATACTTTTTTTCAGAGCAGGCTTGTTTATAAATACTTGCTCTTCCCACTCAGCATTGCACATAATCAGCCTTTTCTTCCAAACCATGCTCTTCCTGTCCACCACACCAGCTTGGGAATTTGTATCAGCAACTTTGAGAGCTTTCAGAGCCACTCAAAGAAAAAAGTTACTGAGAATGATGCACGATCTGAAACAACACCTTCAAAAATAATAAAAAAATTAGCTGATCAGTATGAACAGTTATTAGTATTAGCTGATCAGTATGAAAAGTATCAACAGTGTTTTTTCCATGGAATTTCTTCAATTTGTTTTTCTTACAGAATTTATCTTGTTTATCAGTTATTTTCCAGTGTATAAAACTTAATGAGCTTGTACATAAAGCAGAGAGTAGAAAAAATTTCTTTTGCTTCTATTTGGCTCTTGATCTAACTATAGAAAGTATTGACCAAACTTTTCTCTTGGTTTTGGGTTCTCATGTTGTGTAACAAAGCAGAGAAAAAAGGGGTTTTCTCAGGAAGCTTTTGATACATGTGGAATATTTTTCTTTTCCTAGAAAACAGATATTTGGCACTTGTTTGTCTCTTGTGTTGTCTGTATTTCTAAGCAACCAGTCTTTCCATGAATGGGAAAAAAAAATCGAGAGTTGTAGATAAAGATTGCTTTGATAGCTAGCAGGATATGTGACTTGTAATCTTAATTTTGTACTGCCAAGCTCAAGCCATTGTTAGGCAGGAGCTGGTTTTCACTATGGATGAGACACGTGAGTTTGTAAAGTTCAGCTGGTGCCAATTGTACGTGTCAAAATGTTTTGGTTTGCTGTACTTTCCTTTTAGACAATGATGGCTTTGTAGTTCTATACATTTTCTGTACATCAAGGCACCTTTCACTACAATATCTGGGTCACCCTGTGTAAATGTACCTGCACAAAGAGCTCTCCCGGGCTAATGAGCCTGGAGTTCCACACATGCACCAAATAATTTAGGAAAAAATGTCAGCTCATCATGAGAGTCCTCTGCTTCCCTCCAAAGGGAAGATCCTGCACCATCCTCCCCTTCATCAACCTCAATGATTTGCCCTGGCATACAAAAAACCAAGAGGAAGAAACTGATTTTAAGTAAAAGCCCCTAACAAGAAAAACAAGTGCAAGTCAAGGAATGGCTGAAGAGAAACAATCACTCACAGCGCTGCAGAACTACAGCTTGTACCCATACAGACAGCACCCACCTCAAATGTCCCCAGGCAGACACAAATGTTGGCAGTTTAACTCAAAAATTTAACTGGTTTTAAAAAAGCACCTTTAAAAGTCAAGCAACAAATGAAAGCATGGAAGCTCACACAGAGTCCAACAAATTCAGTCTTTCTACCTTACTTAAATGCTAATAATGTGCCTCAAGGTATGAGAAGATGTTTAACACCAAATATTGCACCCCAGTGCAGTCCCTGACTTTGCAATTTCATTGAGCATTAGAAACATGAGAGAAAAATGGATGAAAGATTTCAGTGTTTGAAGACGCTCAGCTGTATTTTCAAAGTCCATCAGGAAAGCAGACAGCACCTGACCAAACAGCCAATCCCACAAAGAACATCAGCAAGTTTTGAGAAGATTTACATATAATTACAGAGACAAGGTGACAAAAGGCTAGGAAGGGGTGAGGGAAGACATGAAATCAGCCAGTACGGATTAAATCAAATGACAGGCTAAGCAAAAAAATTGCTAATAAATTTTTTTTTTCCAAAAATCCCCCACATAACTAACAAAACCCCAGAATGGG